TCACAAGTAGCCAAGAAACCCTAATAGGTTTTGTCCATACGAGAAGAATATAATCTGAATTTTAATTCAAAAGTGCTAAAAATACTCTTTGTAGTAGTCTTAATCATACATAAACCCCAATTACCTTGTTACTTTCATATTTAAGCAATTTAGATTTTTCTTGTAAGCCCCAATCCTAATTAGTGAGCTTTAACAAGTTGTAATATCCAATCCGACCGTCCACTTGATGTGGAATTTTGCATGCAATTGTCAATGTAAGTCTTCTATATGCTTAAGAATTTTTAGCTCAATCCAACTTACAAATTGTGAGAAAACATCCAAAAATTGCACTGATGTCACTTGGCCGCCAACTTGAAAAGTGAAGCAAAAATCCTAGTAGTGATTTCTCCCTTTCTAACCATTAATTTTGTCTCAAAATTGGTGTATAGCTTGATCTTTAAATGAATCCCTATTTTGCCCTAGGCCATCATTTTAGTGGCTAGAGGTCTGATTTCGACCTTGTCTCACAAACGGTTGATCCCCGAGTATCAATTTAACTTATCCTAAGGATTTTTTAGTCCAATCCTACTCTCAATTTAATCCTAGTACCAACTATACTAATTATTTATCTCTTTTAACTTAATTTTATTAATTTATGGTCATTCTAAGATAATAGAAGAGTCTCTACAATGTAGAAGGTAAAATTATTAACTAACCTTTAACTTACTAACTATTAAGAAAAGAAAATAACCTTAGAGGCTTTTATAAAAACCATGTTTAGATACCTCAAATTACAATTGAACTAAGATAATTAGATATTAATTAGAAATTCAATTTTGATTACAATTTCACCATATAGTTGTATTACATCACAACAGCAATATAAAGTTAAAATCCTTAAGCCTGGCATATTAGTTCTCTTACAAGATCCTAGGAGATTAGATTTTATAGAAAAATTTGATGCCATGTGATTAGGCCCCTACTTAATTAAAGAAGTCTTTTCAAATAATTCAATTTGGCTACAAATACTCAACAGAGAAGATTTTCCTACCAAAACATGTAAAAATAGGTATAAAGAATATAGAGTGTGATTTTTATCATATACAAAGTCAAATGGCTCATCGTCAAATTTACTCTTATTCAATCCCTTAAGTGGAAAATTATCAAAACTAGGTGGAATTTAGAAGCTAAAACATTGGAGTTCAAGATAAGCTATAGTCATATTCATTTGTCTTATCTTTCTTTCAATTTAGTTCCTTCATCAAATAATTAGAGATATTTTAACTGAAAAAGATAAATACTTGATGAAACTTTCATAAAAATTTTTATATATATATATATATATATATATTAAAAATTATGAGAATGTGTCTTAATAAACATCCAAAAGACATAGATGGATTGGTCAAGTGAGAGGTTGTCAAGTGAGTGTCTTGTGTTCAAATCTGGTTTGAAAAAATGGACTATCCTAATGAACTAGTGTTAGTACAAGAAAAGACCAACCTTGACATACAACAGATATATAGGCTTTAGAAGGTTAATAGTAAAATCCTCTCATATTAAAGAGGAATTTAAAAAGTTCACTTTTTTATTTCTTAGCTCTGATTTGTTTTTTTTTATATACATAATCATTAAGTCTTAGATTAGATTTGATTTTCTTTGTCTTCTTTGTTTAGATTTATAGAACAAAACCTACTTTAATTCCTTTAGATTAGAAGCAAATCACTCATTCTTATCTTAGATAATTTTTAAAACACTTTTGAAGATAATTCCTCTTTTTATTCAATAGTATTTTGGAAGGTCAATTCTAGGCTCTTCTCTTTTATAAGTCATCCCAGATGGTTGCCATGTGTGAATCATCAAATTAACTCACTTATTTTTTTAGAATAAAAATATGCATTTAGAATGCTTTAAATCACAATATATAGTGAGTAGTGAAGAAATCTTTAGAAAAATAAAAAAATTAGATTTTTAGTGGAGGAAAATAGAATCTTAGTATGTCTTGGAGGTAATTATCTTTGTTGTTTTAATATTTTTATTCATTCTTGAATATTAAGGATTATTTATTAAGATCAATATTTATATTGGTCTTCTATCTATATGTACTACTTATAAAAACTATAAATATTAATAGTTAGAAGAAGCATGGAAAAGCACCTCATGTCATTTTAATTATTGATATAAAAAATAAGATGTATAGTAGATTTAAATTGATTTTTATTATTATCAAAATCACCAAGGTAAGAAAATGTAGCCATAAATAGATATTAGAATTATAAAAATATTAGAGGATTTTTAAGAATTTATTTAGAATTTATATAGTATTTTTTATGAATTTATAGAGCAATTTTCAAGATCTTAGTAAAAATGAGTTTTACCACTTTGGGAGCCTTTATAAAGAAATGGAGCAAGATTTGAAGGCCACACAAGGATGCAAGGCTAATTGAGTATTTTGAATACCATGGTGAGTTCAAAAATACAAAAAATTTGGTCCTTCTAGTAGAAAATAGGAGGACCAATAGCTAGTGTAGTCCTTGTAGGAAAGAGGGTGCACAAGTCCCATATGGGTGGTAGCACCTTGAAGGTAGTTAGGAGGATAAGACTAAGGCCTTGTGGCCTCTCTTAGAGGCCCTTATATACTACATGTGAGCCTTGATGAGGCTCGAATCCTTGATTTATAAGCAAGTTACCTTTGAGGTAAAATATTTTGACTTTATTTTTTAATTATTTACTTCTTATTTGTAATACTTCATAACTTACTTATAATAATTCGGATTTACATATTTCTCATGTCATTGAAAAGATAATAAAATTATTTATCTTAAAGTATACTTTTAAAATTTTACCTTTACTTTTTATTGGATGAAAACATAGTAGATAAAATGAGACTTAGTTTTGGATGTTGTAATTACTTGATTTCATTTCTTTCACTTGTATTGCGGTTGTTCTTCTTTGGTTTTTTGCCAATTACATACCTCACTTCACACCACAAATTACGAAAAACTCTTAATTGAGGCCATCTTGTAATTGGAATTGAGGAGTAAAATTTACACTGACACTTAGAATGACAGTGAGATTCTAAATTTTTGAGGAGAGGTTGTCCGGGTTTGGCAAAGTGTGCCTCTGACTTCATTTTCCCTCTCTCTCTTCTTTTTGTGCTTGGAAGGGGTTCTTTTTTTTTCCACAGCTTATCATCAATTGAGTGCTACAGGTAGTTGTAGTGGATGCATGAGTAATAGCAGCCGTGTTAGTATTAATGAGAGCTTGTGGCATTGGACTTCACCTACTTAGGAGTAGCTGATTTTGTATTGCTGCTGGAAGTAGTGGAAGTGTGGCACGGTTTCACTGGTGGTGCAAAGGCCATTTCCCTCCTCTCCAATATTACAGGTGATAACTGCAAGTTGCATTCTTCTTGTGTTAGAGGCTACTGTGTGCAGTGGAAGGGTGAGAAGTGTTTTTTCTTTGAGGCGGGGCATGGAAACGGTCATTGAAAAGTATCCAATGACGACAATCTAGACTTGTTCGGATTGGGGTTCTTAGGGTATTTTTTTTTCTGATCCTTTGGTGGGAGGAATTCTGAGCTCCGATCTCCAAGAAATTCTTCTTATGTATTATTTTTTCTACGTGTGTGTGTGTGGCTGCGAAATGTGTTCTCGGACCCGTTGACATTCTGAATGGAAGTGGCTTTAATCAGGAGGCACTAGTGGTTTCGGAGCTCGGATTTGTTTTCGAGGTAGAAAAGTTGGTATCCAGTGGCCGCAGAGCTGGTAGTGTCGACTGTAGTACGACGGCTAGAAGCGGTGCTGTTGCGGAAAGGTGTTCATCAATGCCCTTTGGAGTTCAATCGCCTGTTGGCTCTTAACCCGACGATTGGAATCAGTGGTGCCGTTATTGTTTTGGCAAAGTTTCTTTTGTTTTTTGGAAGTTACAGTCCCTTATCGAGCTGCGGCGGGGTGATTGACACCGTACCCTGCTGTCTTGTTCTTTTTATTATTTTTATTTTCCCCTCATGCGGAGGTGCAAGTTTGGTTCGACGTTGGATTGCCCAGCTCGTGGTTCTTGCGGTACCAAGTGACCGAGCTGCTCGAGTTGGCAAAGTTGGGGTGGCGTTTCATGAAGAGTGGCTGTCACCCAGGAGTCCTCTTAGTTTGTTGCAGTGACCACGACGACGACCTCATATCTTGCCATGTGCTAGAAGGAACTTGAAATGCACGAGAGTCGACCCGATACTGCTATGATTGTGACAAAGCAACTACTCGGATACACTCAACCGTGTTTGTCACCCTAGGTTCCGTGGCTAGCAATTGCTAGTCCTTCCTCTTCGGGGTGGTACCACATTCAAAGAGAACAATCCAGAGATTTGGTGGAGGACCTCTTCCAGATTGGCTGGCTGTGGATGGGCTGAAGTTCGATCACAGGGTCCACCACATTGCTTATAATTTCGCTGTTGTGTGTAGTCTGCATCGGATGAAGTGCGACCTAGTAGAACTAATTGGCTAAGCTATTTTTGTCTAGCTGCAATCATCTTTAAGAGCCATAGTTCTTGTCAAAAATTTATGTCTGGCCTAGTATAGGCGATTAGGAAGTAGTTGACCTGTAGAGCTATGCCGATCTGTTGCTGAATTTCACCATCAGCTCTTCTTCGACGGGAAGGTATTGTCTTGTGCGAGAATTATCAAAAGAGTAGTTGGAACCATTTCCATCGGCTTGCTGCATCTACTGCATGAACGTCAAAACCGGGCGTTGCACGTGAGTTCATCTTCAAATTGATCTATTCTTCTGTAAGAAATTCTACTGTGATAGATATTGTTGTATGGGATGGAAATTCTAGAATTGAATAAACCCAGAATGGGATGAAATTTAAATATAATTGACGTTTATAGTGGATGATAACTGAGATCTTGGATTGGATGAGATTAAGGTTTGATAAGATGATAAATTATGGATGAAGGCTGATTGAATTTGGATGAATTCTCATTTGTAGATGAGAAGTTATTCAAAGATGAATTGTTATTCAAGGATGAATTTTTGTCAATAGTTGAATTTTAATTTAAATAATAATAATAAATAAATAAATAAAATCATATTAATAAGGATTTTTGATATTTTATCTAAAGTTCCAATATTTGGTACATCATCACCCGCTTCACGGTGGGCTTCAGCCCCAGCAGCTTGACCAGTGCGTGGTCGGCTCAGAGCATGTTGACGCCGCTGGTGGTGGCGAACACGATGTGGTTGATGTTGGACTTGCGGCCACCCCACTCCTTGATGGCTTTCTGTGCGGCCTCGGCGGCGAGCTTGGGCACCTGCACCACCACGATATCGTGACGGACGTTCAGCGAGGGTTGCATGTAAGTGCAGATGCCGGGGTTGGCCTTGAGCACCTTCTCGGTGAGGAACATGTGGCGCTTGCGGATGCAGGACTTGTCGCAGATGCGCTTGAATTTGACCTTGAGGGCCTCCTTGTCGCAGGTGTTGGTGATGTTGAAGAAGAAGTCTGGGTAATCGCTTTTTAGGAACTCGGTCGAAGGAACGGCAGTGCCGTTTCTCGACACACACGCAGGGCCCTCTGCGCGGGGCTGACCCTTGGGAAGCACGGCCCTCCTGGCACGAACCTCAGCCTCCACCTCCCCTGCTGGAGCCATTCCACAACCCTGCTCTATTACTTCACCCAACTGTTCTCAGCCTGTGTAGCGCAACCTGTACTCCCGCTTTCTCTCCTTCCTAATTCTGCGACAACACACCGGTTTATGCCTCTTACGTGCCGACTCTGTAAATGCTACCAGTTGGAATCTGCACACGCACCCGACTCTCTTTGTTTGCAACAAGAGCAACTCTACATTCGTAAGTGAATTCAACACAGCGATCGGAGAGATGGCCGCAGAACTCATGGACTCTGTGCTTGGGTGCCGACTTCCGTTGCGAAGTTATTCTAATATCCACAGCCCTTGCGGCATTGAAAAGCAATGCCACGTCGCCAGTTTCACCAGGATCGAGGACCGGTCCTGCAACAAATGCTATGCCAATCACAAAGGACGCGCGCTATGTCTCTCCTTACATTCAGCATGCAAGATTGATCCATTGATTACGAGATATGTGCTTACATACTGCTGCTCGTCGTCCGTGGCATTGATCAGTACCTTCCCTAAAATCGGTTCGACTCTCATTGGCATGCCTCAGCTGAATCTATGGAGCTACCCTCCCCTGGCCCTACCGCTGCGGTGCAAATATGCGCACAAACCACTAGCTAACCTAACTACAACCGCACACACGAACAAATCCTCATCTTGCGGTGAGGACGAAGGTCACCGACGCCGACAGGACAGCAGAGGTGCTCCTGCATTTCTTGGCTTCTGGGAGAGCAGACAAACTCTAGTCTTTTGCACCGACTGATCTTTGCATTCATCTGGCTAGAATGTTCCAGAATCCTTCGATTCTCAACCTGATCCGCGGCTGGACCGATGTCGGCCGCTGATGCCAATGGTGTGTGAGGTTAGAAGGCACGGCCCTGGTGCGCACAAGCTAGGAATCATAAACCATGGCGACAATCGGGCTCTGCACGACGTGCATACCATCCGTCCACTGCACCACGCCATGCGCATGCGCTACCCCTGCCGGAACCGGCGCAGTCGCGTTTGGTGACACCGTCAACGTGAAACTCTGTGTCGGTGCTGCAGCGGAGAACGTTATTGTGGCGGGCTGGACAGCAACGTCAAAATACGCGGGTGCAATTACGTTGGCAGTGTAGACGGAATCTGGGGCTCCCACATTCGTCACCACTCGGTTGAAGGTCACGGATGCCCCGGGCAGTGTCGACCGCGTAAACGTAGCAACCATGGAGGGCAGATTGACGTCCTCCACCCGCGCCGCAGCGGGGCACGCGTATCCGTTGGGCTCAAAAAGCTTGATCTCTTCGGGAGTGTATTGGAGCGCGCACAAGAAGTTCAAATAATCGGTCGTCCCCATGTCGTAGATCAACCCTGGGTCATTAGCTCTCTCGGGGCGCATCAGCCCTGCTCCGAAGTCGAAGAACGTGCCAGTCTCACCGGATTCTTCAAGCGTGATGATGTTACGGGTGTTGTCCGCGATGGAGGCGGAGGTCATCATGGCCGACTTGATGGCGGCCGGGCTCCATGTGGGGTGCGATGCCTTTATCAAAGCCCCGATGCCGCTCACGTGAGGGCACGCCATGGAGGTTCCAGTCATGAAAGCCCAACGCTCGTTCTTGATCCCTGCTGCCAGAATGTCCACCCCTGGAGCACCGATGTCAGGCTTCAGCCACTGCGCCTGGGGAAAGGTGTGGGGGCCTCGGTTAGAGAAGCCCGCCACCTTGGGCGCCGGCGTCACGCCCAGGACGGTCTTGGCACCACGAATAGTTGCTGTGGGTGCAGCTGTGGAACGAACATAAGACACCATGGTTTGGCCGGCCTTATTGCCCACTATCGTGTACGGGAAGTCCACATGTAGAACACTTAAATCTTCTCCCACAGCCTTGGCTGAAACGAACCCTACGGCGCCGGCGGGAATCGTGCGGTTCCTCTCGACGTCATCTTGGAAGCACAGTACAATCTTTCCCACGGCCTTCGACTCATCGATGGTGTCTCTCTCGCAGAAAGTGGCGTTGTCTGCGTAGAGAGCACTGACTGCAATGTCACCCCCGAAGACCAGAGGGACTTGCTCAGCCAGCGCTGTCCCGTCGTAGTCGGATCGTCCCTTCAGAACCGTCCCATCGCCGAGCTCAACATTCGTGTCGATGTCGCGGTCTTGAGTGGTAGCTGCGACTGTCGTGACCCACGGCGCCACATGGGCGACCGTCCCCGGGGCGGGGCCTTCATTTCCCGCAGATACTGAGAAGAAGATTCCTCGCTTGACGGCATTATACATAGCAATGTTCATCAGGTAATCTTGTGTGAAGTATTCTCCGGTCGATCCACTCACCGAGTACGAGATGACATCGACCCCGTCCGCCACCGCCCAATCGATCGCCTTTATAAGGTCAGCCGTAGATCCAACTCCTTCCGGTCCCCACAAAGCCTTGTAAACTGCAATTCGTGCCTTGGGTGCCGTTCCCGCTGCCGTTCCCTCGGCGAGCCCAGTAGGGCTCACTGCTCGAGCAACGTGCATGCCAGCTGCTGTGGAGGCGCAGTGGGTGCCGTGGCCAACCATATCACGCGGGGACTTGTAATCTTCGACGCCGTCCTCGATGGGTCTGCCTATGTCCGCTTCACGACCCGCGAATATAAAGCGGGCGCCGATGATCTTCCTGTTGCAATTCGAAACCGTAAAGCTGGTCCCGACCTCGCACACCCCGTTCCATCGCGCAGGAATCGGCCCGAGCGAGAGGTCGTCGAAGCTCAACCGCTCTGGCCAGATTCCGGAGTCGATCACTCCGATGATCATATCTTCTCCGGACTTGCCGTCCGCCCACAACCTCCCGCTCGCACTCGCCAATCCCAGGAACTCCGTGCTGCGGGTGGTAGCAAGCTGAACGGGTACGTCGGGGTGCAAGCCCTTCACGCCAGGCATCTTTCCCATGAATTCGGCCTGCTCTGGCGTCAGCCTGGCCGAAAACCCGTCCAAGACGTGGTCGTAGACGTGGTGGAGGCAGTCCATGCCGTCGTCGGGGTGGCCCTCTGCAAGGACCTCCGTGGCTCTTTGCATCATCCCAACGTAACAAGCGGATTTATCAAGAACGCTGTGATGGGAGGTGTTCCTCTCCATGTGCACGATGTACGTCCTGCTCCCGTGGGGCGCGCCGTTCGTCCCACGCAGAGTCAGACATGTCAAGGCCAGAAAGTAAACAAAGCGCCTCATCGCAGGGTTCATCTTAGCGACCAAACGTCCCGCCTCGCAACCAACTTGGAGAATTTGTGTAGTGTATGTTTCAACGACACCAGTACGTTTCACTACAAGAAATCCTATCAACGTGTTTCAGGCCACTACAAGCTAGATCTCCTTCTGAGAGCTTGGGGAGTCCCCTCCAAAGTTCGAAACTTTATAGGTTTCCTCGGATCATTCAGTGCAGAATCGGTGTGGGTCGACATATATAACAGTTGTGTTCGTGGAACAGCGGAATGGTGGAGGCAGCAAAGGACTGAAGGCTCGTTACCTGGAAACTTCGCATCGAAAAGGTCCAAGTCTTGAAACGCTAAAAATAAATAAATAAATAAAATAAGGTGGACGATATGAATAGTGTCTAGTCGGCTACGTGGTGTTGGACGCTGAGGTCAAATCCACCAGTTCCTGAAATTCTGGCAACACTGCTTCAACTTACTCCTTCTAGGGGCATCATCTTGTGTCGGTTTGAGGGGAGATATGCAAATACAACTAACGTTGATTTATATGCACGGGAACTTGCGTCGTGTTCAAGACTGCGGGCTCCTGATTAGGACGAAGGCACCACAGAGTTTTGCACTCGGTTTTTGTTTTCGACTTGAGACACAGTCAACTCCAGTTTACTATCAAACCGACTCATCTGTCACGAAGTCCTTCAGCTATCAGATGGCCAGACGTGGCGCCGACACTGATTAGCTGGTACGCGTTTGAACTTCAATGCCGGCAGGTTCGCAAAAAGGAATTAGAGTTGAAACAGTGCAAATCGTAGCGGATCGGTAGGAGCCAACGTGCTCATCCTGGGGACGGTATATTGTTGGATGAAGTAGTTCATTCAACTTCCTTTATCCGACTAATCTAGATCAATCACCAACCTTACTGGAGTGAAGAAGAAACTCACCTACTGGAGCTCCGTCAAACTCTCCTTATCCGGAAGACGCCTAATTGTGAACCAGGTAGTCATGTCAACCCTATGGTATTTCATTGGTGTTTGGGCAGGCTCCAAGCGGGTTGTCAAACAGGTTAAGAGCCTCCTCCACAACTACCTATAGGCAGGGCATGATTGAAGGACCCACACTTGGGTTGCGTGGCACATTTGTATCCGAAAGAAAAAACTAGGAGGCCTTAGTCTCATGGATCTCGATAGCACCATGACAATGCTCTTCAACAAATGGTTGATCAAAGCTATCGAGCCCGGCCCCTCCAACATGCACCAGTTCCTCAAGTACACACTCTCTTGCTACCAACTAGAAAAGGGAGGCAGCTAGCTGGCCGATCCACGATAGCCCATGCTAAGCAAACACCAAATTTCTCCGACTCCAAAATTTGGAACCAGGTCACCAAGGCCTGGAAACACGTTGTTGACCACATACATTTGAAGAAACCGACCACCTTCAAAGCGACATTACTTGTTGAAATTAAGCACAACCCCAAATTTGCGACCAGCATACAAGAAACTAGAATAACTATTGCTAAAAGACAAGAAAACTAGAGATTCTTGAAATTAAATTAAAAGCAAGAAAGGAGTTGATAAGAGTGAAGAAGGATTTACTTTTTGCCTCTATATATACTATCTATCTAGGAGCTATGTGGCGACATTCTATAAGACCTCTAATACATGTCCAATTTACAAGATACTGTCACTAACATAGAATACAGTCTTGATATCTACCAAGAAGTTCAAGAAGAACTGGCAAGAACTAGATTAATCAGATGAATACAAGAACAACACTAGAGAGGTGAGCTAGAGCTCCAAGAGATGTGTTGTCGAGACTGAAGAACTCTTCAGCCTCGATTCCAATATATACTCCTATTTAGGAAGCTTCTCAAGCAACTTCTACCAACTAAGAAGCTTTTAGAAGGTTCCAGAGACTTGCTTCTAGAAGGTTCTAGAAGCTTGTCTCTAGAAGGTTCTAGAAACTTGTCTCTAGAAGGTTCTAAGGACTATGTTCCTAACATCACCCCCTCCTTTAGCTTCGAGGTCTCTGAGAAGTAATGTTGTTGTCAATCAGTATCAACGCAAGAAAAGGAAGATCTGTCGCATAACGTCTGCTATGAACTCCAACTGTTGTTCACGAGGTAAGTGGTTCATCGGCCCTTGAAGCCAATGGTAATGGCCCACTCCTTCAACTTCTGACCAAGCATGAACTTTCGTGTCTTCATTGTGAAATTGTCCTACAAATATGCCTTCTGATTGACCATCGTAAGCAGGCTCGGACTTAAATACAATCACCAGTGATCGGTTACTTGGTATCCTCCGTCGTTGTCATGGTGTAGGTGGTTCTTCATCTCGGGGTCGCCTTCGTGAACTAGTTGGTTGAGATAATCTAACTGGCATAGTAACTATCTCTTGGCTATCCATATCAAAAGACCAAACTATGGCTACTGAAAAAATTCTATTTTATCTTGGAGAAAATAACTACATCAACTACGAATTCTGGTGGTGCTCTCTCCCTTTCTTATATTCTTGGGTGAGCAACCTTCAAAAAGAAGCTATTGTCGAACCGGCTTAGGTTTATGAGGATGTTGTTGATGAAACTCCTGTACCTTTTGCGGCGCATTGGTGAGATTTTCAGCTGGCTCCCACGTTCGCTCATTAATGTCGTAGCCGCACCAATGAACAAGATACTCCAACTTGTCCCACCTTCGCCGAGAATCCAGCACCTTTTCAACCTCGTATTCCTCGTGGTTCTCGATCTCAATACTAGGTGGCGGACATTGCACTCTTCTAGGAAAAGATGACTCTCGATAAGGCTCCAACAAAGAAACATGAAAGAGTGGATGTACCTTCATAGAAGCCGGTAATTCCAGACGGTACGCCACTGGATTGATTTGCTTTTGGATGATAAATGGTCCCAATCTTCGATAGTCCAACTTATCACATGGTTGCTTGGTCTTGATATTCCGTCGAAGAAGCCATGCTTTATCTCCAATTTTGAAAGTATGTGCTTGATTCCGAAATCTATCTGCAGACGCCTTGTAGGATTCTTGAGCGGATTGTAATTGAAGGAGTCAACGTATTTTGAAGCTCTGATAGTTGTTTCGCAAATCCTTCAGCTGCTGGATTATTATTTGTTGATGGACTCAATAAATCAAGCTTCGGATGATACCCATAGTTGGAAAAGAATGGTGTGTATTGAGTCGATGCATGGAGGGTGTTGTTATATACAAACTCAGCTAGCGGCAGATATGTGGTCCAATCGTCTTGCTGATAGTTGATGCTGCATCGTAAGTATTGTTCCAAGATTTGGTTCAGCCGTTCCGTTTGATCGTCAGTTTGAGGATGAAAAGCCGAAGAAAGCTTGATATCCACCTTCAATATCTCAAAGAGAGATCTCCAAAACTTTGATACAAACTGGATTCCTCGATCTGATACGATATCATCTGGTAGTCCATGATATCAATACACATTATCGAGAAAGAGCCTTGCTGTGACTTCACTGGACGATGTCTTCTTGCAAAGGACAAAGTGTGCCATTTTTGTAAGCCGATCTACCATGACAAAGATGCTGTCAAATGAGTTCGATGATGGGAGGTCCATGATGAAGTCCATGGAAATTGAAGACCATGGTCGACGTGGAATCGGCAATGGCTGTAGGAGTCTATAAGGGCGATGCCGAGGATTCTTGGATCTTGAACAGATGTTGCAGGAGAGGACAAAATCTTTCACATCCTTCCACATTTGGGGCCACCAAAAATCTCGAGAAATAAGCTCCAAGGTCTTGTTGAATCCAAAATGTCCCGGAGCTGGAAAATCGTGGCGAGATTGAAGAACTCGGAGTCGTGCTGGTCCTTTTGGGATATATAACCGCTCTTCAAAGTATAAAAGATCTCCCTCCACCTTGAACTTGTCGTCATTGGCACGCTGCTTAATATCAATGGCTACTGAATCTTCAATGGTTACGGCACGTACCTGATTCAGGAAGTCAGCATCAATTGGCATAATAGTAGCGCAAACGTGAATATGCTCTGGCTTCAACAATGTCGTACATTGTTGATCAAACGCTACTTCTCCAGCCTTTGCTACAAGATATGATCTCCTCGATAAGGCATCAGATAGTCCTTGCTACTTTCCTCGTCGATAAGTGATAATAAAATCCAACCTAGATAGCAACATACTCCATCGAGCTTGACGTCGATTTAGAACTCGAGCCGACATGAAATACTTCAAATTCTTGTAATCTGTGTATATGGTCACTGGATGTGCAGCTCCTTCAAGAAAGTGACGCCATTCTTGGAAAGAATCCACTATAGCAAGAAGTTCCTTATCGTGGATCTCATAATTGATTTCAGCAGCAGAGAACTTTCGAGAATAGAATGCAACCGGATGGAGCTTCTTATCTTCTCCCATTTGTGAAAGTACAGCTCTCAAAGCAAAATCCGAAGCATCAGTTTCTAAATAGAAGGCCTTTGTAAAGTTTGGATGTATCAAGATTGGAGCCGTAGTAAATGCGGTCTTCAGGTTTTGAAACGCCTTATCTGCTAGAGGTCCCCATTCCAGCTTATCCTTGCATGTCAACCGAGTGAGAGGAGCAGCAACTTGAGAGTAATTCTTGATAAAGATCTGATAGAAGTTGGCAAAACCAAGAAAGCATTGTACATCTCTAACCGTCTTTGGAACCTCTCAGGACACGATTGCTTCTACCTTCTTGAGGTCCATCTTCAAGCCTTCTGTAGTCGCAATGAACCCCAGAAACTCCATCTCTATTTGGTGAAATAAACACTTCTCCAACTTGGCATATAGTCCTCGCTCGCGTAGTTTCTCCAATACTAAACGAACGTGTTTTTCATACACTTCCTCATTTTTGGAGAATATCAAAATATCATCCAAATAGATGACAATAAAATCGTCAAGGTACTCTCGGAAAATGTCATTCATCATATGTTGAAAGACCGCTGGAGCATTGGTAAGACCAAAGGGCATGACATTATATTCAAAATGGCCATACCTTGTACGGAATGCTATCTTTCACTCATCTCCTTCCTTGATTCGTACAAGGTTGTAAGCTCCCCTTAGATCAATTTTTGTAAAGATCCTTGCACGTCCAAGTTGTTCTAAGAGACCAGAAATCAAGGGTAACGGGTAACGATTCTTCTTTGTTACCTTGTTGAAGCCTCGATAGTCCACGCACATCCGCAACGAGCCATCTTTCTTCTTCACAAATAAGATGGGTGCTCCAGTTGACGATTTTGAATGACGGATGAAGTTCTTGGTTAGATTCTCGT